GAGACAAGAATCTTAAGAAAAAGTTATGTATTGTATGTATGCAATAAAGCCATATTCTATAGAGAAAGTCAATGTGTTTCTTACAAGAGAATATCTTATGTCCCCTACAATTGTGTCTCTTTCTATTTACAGGGAGCATATACCTAAAAATCCTAATGGTACATGTACAAATAAAATCCACTAGAATATTCTCTTTTTATGTCTTATCCTAAAACTAGCCGTTATTTACTCTGTCTACGATGAGTGCTCGACCTCGACCTTGATCTTCGATGACTCTTCGACCTTGATCTTCAATAACTTCATCGGTTCCGCCCCCTTTTAAGAGACCACTTCGACCTTAGGCAGGCCTTTATCGATGTCGTATTGGTGACGCTGACAGTCCATGGAGGCCTTCTTAATGCTAATACGGTATAATCATATTAAAGATAATTTTTGGCCCATAAAAGTTGAAAGAGTAACTTTTTGGTATTTATCAATAGGGACGAGTATACCTTTAAACTTATGCGTTCATTCGAAGTCAGTCGCTTTGGATCGGTCTTTGTAAATGTGCTAAAAGATTCGTTAAACAAGTAGAAATAAAAGTTTTCAAACTCTATAAATCAAATACGTAGACTGTAGTAAAATGATGAATTCGAAACGATAATGTTCAGATCAGATCCGAAATCCGTCTCTTTTTATCAAAAATCCGTCGCTCCTTTTTAAATTTTGTGGCCAATTATACGCCATGAAGCAGTTAAAAAGTTGTTTTGCTATTTTAAACAGTAGCTTCGATGTGCCAGTCCAGAAATAATTGGTAATGATTTAGAAATTTGTGGTATAAACAACAATGTTTAGCTTAGGCGGCTTCTAATGGTGGGTTTTTGAATTGAGTTTTAAAGATCCATATATTGACGGTGTAAAAATAAGGTGATTTTAAAGGAAGTTGATGGAAACTTTGTTTAATAAACATTCATTAAGAAGTAACTAGCTATAATAAACTAAATTATATTGATAATGTAAGAATTCATTATATTGTCATTGCATATAATTTAAATCCTTTTGAATTTTATTGTAATATTAAACTGTTTGATTAATTCTAAAATTGCTAGGAAGGTGGAGGTACTTATTTGTCATTTAAAAAACGCATCTGTTTCATCACACCCCCAAAGAATCACAAATTAAGAGTACGAGAGTCAATTCATTTAATTTTAATGTGAATATAAATATTAAATATTAAATTTTTTAAAAATAAAGTATACACATAAAAAGTAATATAGAAACAAATTTATTAGCTATAATTCTAATGTTAATGAATTTTTAAGAAAAATGAGCATCAGAGTAATATATTAGAGTCTCTAAACAATATCATGATTTTTTCAGATGGAGAGGAACTGTTTTTCAACAATAGTTTCAGGGGAGGCCCCAAATATATTTTAAATTATTCTTCTTCTTCTTCTTCTTCTTCTTATTATTATTATTATTATTATTATTATTATTATTATTATTATTATTATTATATACTAATAATTTATATAAATAATTAGTATAAAGAAAAGTGTTACAATATATTATTTTGTTATTTGATTGAGGTTATTTTATACCAATAAATTTATAAAATATGTTAATTTTTGCCCTCATTAATTAGTATATTTGCGTCACTCTTCAATTTTAATTTTTTTTCCTTTTTATATATATATCGATAATATAATGAATTTATTTTACAATATACTCTGAAATTGTATGAACACAAAAGTATTCATGCACCGGTTTTCTTTTAGTGTAATTCGATATTATATTAGATTATTTACAATTTATTTTAGATATTCACTAAAAAGTGTTACTTAATATAATGAAGTACAATTATCGTTTAAATTGATCAGAAGAAGTAAATATTTTTGACACCGTCAATGCTCAAAACTTAAGATATTACATTATGTACGTTTATTTCTTTTTTGTTTGTGATGATAGCCAAATCAAAATTTTCATTTTGAGTTCTGGACCTCAACATCCGATAGTCCACCACTTTAATTTTTGTGCTCTTCTTCCTTTTTCTTTTTTCTGAAATTTATTTTTTTGTCTTAAATAATTAATTTATTATTTAAAAAGTAAATTTTGTTACTAGTATAAATATTTTATAGAATAAATTTAAAGGCCTCTCAGTATGATTTCGTCTTAGGCCACGAGATCCGTTGAGCCACCCATTAATAATTTTTGTCCTTGTTTGCTCTCCCGTTAGTGGTCTTTCGAACCTACAGTCTATGCGAAATTGGGAATCACTTTTTAGACTGCTGCACATTTCTAAGCGTGGATACTACGACAAGAAATTAACACGTTGAGATCCAATTAATCACATCATGTTCCTTTAACATTAGAATTAAAAGGCAGTATGGTGCATAAAGTATTTTGTATTTATACAGATTCGAAGAAGGGTTGCACCTCAAGGGGTGTGTTGTCCGGGATGAAGCTAAAGCTTCGGGTGTGGCTTCGGCCGAACCCAGTAGTTTTGGTCCAAACTCTATATTTGCATTTAAAAATTCATTGAATATGTACACATTATTAATTTAGAACCCAGTAACTTAGAAGGAATAAAATCTCGAACTCATTAGCTTCAAATTCTGGCTCCGTCACTATGTGTTGTAGACAGTCTATCCTAATGCAAACATTAATGGCTGATTCTACGGTTCGAACCGTAACCTATAGGTCACACGGAGATAACTTTATCGTTGCTCCAAGACTCCCTTCTAATAGAAGAATTATTAAATTTTTTTTTTAAATATTTAGTCTGGTAATCGGAGGATAATGATGAGCAATTTTTCCGTTACATTTGACGAGGGAGATTTGCTTTAGTGGTAGGTCATCTCCACCACAAACTATTAGGTTGGAAATTCAAGTCATATCAACTATCAAGGTCGAGTAAGAATATTGTCGATCCTTCTGCGTAAGATGTGGGGGTAAAAAAGAAGAAAAATTTTCATTATTCATTTTATTCTTTTTTTTTGGGGAGGTTGGGTCCTAAACTACTTTAACCTAAATAGTCGTTCACCTAACTGTTTAAACGTAATCCCTCCGTTTCAATTTAGATGAGATAGTTTGACTCAACACAGAATTTAACAAAAAAAAACTTTTGAAACTTGTAGTCTTAAAAGCTTAGTGAGTAATAGCTTTGTGGGGCCATGACATTTGTGTGGTTATAAAAGCTTCTCATTAAGGGTAAAATGAGTAAAATAAAGAGTTTAAAGTTGAATTATTTCCAAATTTAAAAATGTGTCATTTATTTTGAGACAGACTAAAAAGAAAAATACATCATCTAATTTGAAACAGAGAGAATAATAAATAGTTGATGAATGTATAATATATATATATAATCATGTACAGTTAGTATATAATCAATATATACCGATTATAAAAAATAAATAGTAAATCGATCGCCTGTTTGTGTAAACGATCCCCATCGTTTTACAAGCCTTCCATCAGAGCATCAGTATTCAGGTTCGGAGGCCCATAGGCTGGTTGCATAAATCAATAAGCCTAAAACTCGACCTGATTGTCATGTCAAGCCCTCCTGCTCATGTTCTTGAGAGTTTATTATAAATTAAAATCATTTTAAAATATTATTTTTTATATCTACCTTTTATATTTTATAGCAAAATAAGTATTTTATGGTATATACTATCATTGAGGCATGAAATACGCTATTTATGTTTTTCCTCTCGCTTAAACAGCTCGACATACCTATTTTTAAGGGATTGCCGCTACTGTATTCATGAATACATGGCGTGAATACATGCGCGTACAGCTGTATTCATGAATACAACAACGCAAATACATGTGAATACATGCACGTACAGCTGAACTGCCCTGATTTTAGGCACTTTTTACTGCTGTATTCATGAATACATCAGCACGAATACATGCGCGTACAACTGAAATGCCCTGATTTTAGGCGCTTTTTGTTGCTGTATTCATGAATACAGTAGCGCGAATACATGTGAATACACTACCGTAACAACTGAATAGTAGGTATAGAAAGTAATTATGTATATAGTAGCTATAGGAAGTTAATAGCCGCTAAACAATAGTGGTTTCTGAAAATTCGAATTTATTTTAACTGCGAAATTAGAAGCTTCAGAAAGTTTAGGTTTAAAAAAATGTTTTGCAAATATATAGAAAGTTATATTTTTTTAATGATTTGACAATTAGCTCTGTGAACCAAAATCAATGGGTGGATTCATTTGGACTTGTATCATGCATTAAATAGATTTGATGAAAACTTCTATATACGTATAAAATCAGATTCAGTAATATATGATCAGAATAAGAGTCTTATCAATTGTACATCATACTTAAGACGTAGAATTAGACTAAACAAAAGAAAGAATTTTCCTTGATCTTGCAACCTCCACATTTACTTTTACTTTGACTTAGGCCGGTTATGATCAGGATATAGTTCCAGACTTGAAGGTGTCTGATCTAGTGGACATTTTGTCTTGAAACTTAATTTTGAATCTCCAAAGTTTAATGGTTTGTTTGCATGGTTCACATATATACTAGCTACGTGAGCATTAACATAATGTAGTGATTGCTTATATTGGTGATCATTTTCGTGTCGGGGCAGGATTTCTGCTAAAGGGTTAAAAAAGGTTAAAAAATTAAAAGAGACTGTAACAAGTGAGAAATGAACCAGCGACCTTATAAAGGTTTTGAACCCCCTTGACCACTGAGCTATGCTTTTGGGTTGTGTCAAGATGATTTAAAGTATAAAATATAAAGGTACAAATTGGATTTTGTCTTATATATACAGTGTAATTTTCAGACGAAAGAAGTTGGAGTGAACCTAAATCCGCCCATGGTTATGTCATAATCATGATAAAGAGATAGGTAGAGTTTCTATTTTCTTTATAGTTCAAAGACTTTTTGTCTGGCCACAGTTTCACCAACATATCTTTTAAGAGAACAGAGGAATGGATGAGTAGAATATGGAAGCAAAGGGGATAGATATACAAATTTTATTCAATCCTCAAGTCCCATAAAATCACAACAAATATCTTAATATTGTAAATGCAATAATATCTCTCTCAAGCACACACATTACAATCGTGCTGAATCCAACAAAAATAAAATCTCAAAATTTAAAAATATTTTGGTAAAGAAAGGACAAAAACCAGAATATGTAACTTTTCCATCCAAGCTCCTATATTGTGTTATTGAATCTCAAATTCTCCTTCATCTATTTCGAACTTCTTGGAGATTTTCCCCCAACAACTTTAGCTACTTTAACATTCTGTTGACCGCTCTTATTGACGATATTTTTAGCTCGATTACTGGAACTATCGATCTTAGTATAGCCAGTAACAGGAGTTGGTCCTGACCTTAAACTTTGTGTCCAGTTAAATTTTGGCTGACGAATATTCATTTTCTGCATGTTATTCGCCACCTTAGAACTTCTCAAATTGCTAGAACTCCTACGTGCTTTTTTCTTGATTTCTTTTATTTCAATCTTTGTCCCTCCTTCCATCTTTATATTAATGTTCACTTCAGAAAGTGCATTAGTGTTTGTACCATGCGTACCATCTGTTGCACCTATGTCATTAGCTGATTTCTTTGTGTTCCTTTCCTCTTGATGTAGGTAAAGCCTGTGCAATCTTAGTGCTAATTGGCATATTCCTTCTTTTATTTCATCCTCTAAATCCCTCTCCACATCCCTTTCGAGCTCCCCTCGAATCTTCATCTCATTTGTATTCATCTTTTCAACTAAATGCACGTAAAAAAAATTGTATCACTTATAAACTTAGATTATTTTAATAAAAATTATATCACTAATTAATAACCCCCCCCCCCCCCCCCCCCAAAAAAAAAAGTAACAAATATAAAAATAAAAGAGAAAAGAAAAGGAGATAACCTTTAGTAAGGGGTGTCATATGTATGATAATGCTTCGTAAAAGTTGTCATAAGGACCATGACTAATTGATGTGTGTTAACAATAAATATATACTATAATATCATATTTTTGGAAATTAAAAAATGTATATACACAATTGGAAGATACCATTTGAAGAAAAAGTACAAAGTAAATATCAATTCGAGGCAAGAAGTAAAGAGTTCAAAAGTTCAAACCGTCATAGCTCAAGATCCAAACCTGTTTATAATCATACGAATAGTAACAATAGAGCAATATTGCTACCTAAATTTGCGCGTAAGCCCCCACGAATAAGCACTTGAGAGGAGAAAGAAAATTGATCATTCAGAAGAAGTTATATATGAAGCAGCTATTCAACGTAGATGATTTTGGGAGTGTACAAACTAATGGTCCATATGCTGAATCTGATGATGTTTTATATTACTTTGGAATGATGTAGACCTTTAGTGTTTTGATTGGCCACCAGTTGTCTAAGTTGGACTGAAGAAGACATGAAAGGGAATGTTTAAACATGAAATGACCGTTAGAGTTGGTTATTCAGTTGGATGATTCAAACTTAGGCTTCAAATATCTCAGGGTGTAATTGAAATTTAGAAGGAATTCTTTCTCTGAGGATTTGATTATACAGTTTGTGTAACATTTGTTTTTCTTACTGTGCTTGACTTAAAAGAAAAGTGTTTTGGTGTCTCCTTAAAGTAGAATCATGTTTCTTTTTGTAGTAACCTTTTTTTCACATGATGATGTGAATGTAAATATTGAAGAAATCACTGATTTGTATCTTAAGCTTAGTGCCCTATTGGTGTTGTATCCCTTTCTAAAAATACCATTCTTTCTGGACTCGTTCAAATAACACACATATACAAGAATAAATTGATAGAATAATGAAAGGAGGATGCAAAAATTTTCTGTATTTTGATTGATGAATTCATTGTTACAAGAATGCCTAGCTTTATACAAGTATATACCTAGTAAAAGAAAACTAGAAAAGAAAATAGAAAATAGAAGAATCTTATAAATTCTGTACACTTGTCAACTTTACATTAGACTAAAATTAACAAACTAACCAACTAATATTCCCAACAATCTCTAGTACGTGTGAGCTCTTCTATACACGTGAGAAAGTTCTAGAGCTGAGCTCTACTATAGACGGTCCAGATTTAATCACTTAAAGTTGCCTTTGGTTGCTGGGATGATGACACCTGTCCTCCACATCTGAGATCAAAATGTGGAGACTTTGCTATGTCCGAACATTTTCTTTTGACTGAACCTATCTGCTATTATTGTTCAACCTTTATGCCTCTTTCTTCTTCTATAAATGGTGAAATCGAGTGATTTCCAACATCCCCCTCAAGTTGGAGGGGAAAGATGACACTCCCAACATGCTGAGAATCGATCGATGAGAGGGCCCTGAAAGAGGTTTTGTGATTAGATCGGCAAGCTGAGATTGAGAGGGCACGAAAGGGAGAAAAATAAGGTCGGAGAGGAACTGTTGTCGCACAAAATGACAATCAAGTTCCACGTGTTTGGTTCTTCATGGAAGACGGGATTACGGGCGATTTGAATTGCAGATTTGCTTTCAAAGAGAACTGGTACAGGCAAAGAGGGTTGAATGGAAAGATCTTGAAGAAGACGAGTTAACCATGTTAATTCTGTCACTACCTAGCGCATGGACCGGTATTCTGCCTCAGCAGAAGACAAATATAAAGATGCCTAGTTTTTAAATTTCCAGGAAATGGGTAAAGCTCCAAGGGCGATGTAGAAACCACTTCCAGATCGTCTGATTTCTAGGCAAGATGCCCAATCGGCATCGCAAAAAGCAACAAGATTTAGAGATGGAGATGAATTCAAAATAATGCCTTGAACTAGATCTGATTTGAGATATCTAAGAACCCTCAAGGCTGCTGTGAAGTGAGAAAGGCGGGGACTTTGCATGGATTGACTCAACTTCAAGACGACAAAGGACAGATCTGGTCGAGTGTGGGTCAAGTAGTTCAACTTGCCCACAAGTTGTCTATAAACAATGGAATTGGGAAGGAGATTTCCTGAAGCTGCATGGAGTTTAGAAGATGGTTCAAGTGGTGATAAGACAATAGAAGAATATATGACATCAAACTCTTTCAGCAGGTCTAAGATAAATTTTCGTTGGCATACAATAATACCCTGTTTTTCTCTAAGAATCTTCATGCCTAGAAAATAGTGTAGATTGCCTAAATTCTTGACTTTGAATTCATTGTGAAGGAATTCCTTTAAGAGTGTGATTTCTGATGAATCATTGCCACTTAAACTGCCACAATGGTAGTCAAATATTCTTGCTTTTTGAAGAATAATGAGTAGTCATTAAGAGAAGAGGAATACCCTTTAAAATTGAGAGCACCAGCAAGCGAGCATACCACTGCCGTGAAGCTTGCTTTAAGCCATAGAGAGACTTTTTGAGTAAACAAACATGATTAGGAGAGGTAGGTGATAGGCCAGCTCAGAATTTCACAAAAACTTCTTCTTGTAAATCTCCATGTAAGAATGCATTACTTACATCCAACTGATAGATTGGCCATGCCTTTTTAGCTGCCACTTCCAATAGGCATCTTATGATGGTCATTTTCAACATAGGTGAAAATGTCTCATTGTAGTAGATTCCTTCCTTTTGTATGTCCCCCTCACTATTAATCGTGTCTTGAGCCTCTTTATGCTACCATCTGAATTGTGTTTTACCTTGTAAACACATTTACAAGGTAATGTCTTCTTTCCTGGTGGTAAAAGAACCACTTCCTAAGTGTGGTTTTTCTATAATGCCTCAATCTCTGAATCCATGGCCTTTTGCCATCCTGGGTGCATGGAAGCCTGAGAAAACCTAGTAGGTTTTGAGGCCTTTGAGATAGATTGCAACACATATTGATTGTGGGGGGATAGATCTCCAAAAGAATAGGCAGTAAGAGTAGCAGGCTGTGCAAAACAAGAAGTAGTGAGGTCGGTAAGAAAAAAATTAGTGCAAATGTAGTCATTAAGATAAGTAGGCAATTTTGATTCTCTTGAGGATCTTCTAGGGGCAACAAGAGTGTTGTTTCTGGGAGAACTGTTCCTAGATGAAGATGGCTGAAGAGAAGACTGAAATATGATAGGTATAGGTGAAAAAGATATGTTTGGGTAGAGGTACTAGGTTCAGGTAAGCCATGATGGTGAGGTGAATGTATAGTGTTTGGAGTTGGTGATGAAGGTACATGGGAAAAAGGTTCTGAAAAAGATGGTGTGTGTATATAGGGAAAATGACATCTTCTGATGGATCATTAGAAAGGACGAGGTGTGGAGATGTATAATTTGAAGCAAAAGGATATTTGTTTTCATAAAATTGCACATCCGTGAAAACTATGACCTTCCTTGTATCTATTTCCAAAACTTTGTAACCTTTTTGTCCTAGAGGATAATCTAGAAAGACACAAGCCTTTGCTCTTGGATCAAATTTACTTCTTCCATTAGATAAAATAGAGACATAGCAAAGATACCCAAAGACTCTAAGGGTACTATAGTAAGAAGACTGGTTAAACAATATAAAGTAAGGTATTTTTTCTTTAAGGACCTTAGAGAGCAACCTGTTAATCAAATGAGTTGCAGTTAGTAAATATTCACCCCAATATGCAATAGGAACCTTTGATCGATAAAGGAGAGCTCTTGCAATCTCCAATAGGTGCCTATGTTTTCTTTCCACTATGTCATTCTATTAAGTGGTAGCAACACAAGAAGTTTGATGAAGTATCCCTTAAGAAATCAAGAAGGCAGACTTTTGTTTGCCCTTACCAAGTTCAAAAATATTATTTGTCCTTAGTTTTTATACTTTAACACCAAACTGTCTCTCAACCTTTGTGAGAAAATTCGTTAATGCATCAAATGCATTACTCTTGGTACTCAATAAGAAGGTCCATGTACCTCTGTTGTAGGCATCCACTATTATTAAAAAATATTTAAAACCATTATATGTAGGAACTTTGTAAGGTCCCCTTGTATTCACATGAATTAACTCAAATACTTTCTTTGATTTGATTTGACTTAATGAAAAAAGAATTTTTTAGTTTGCCTAGATTTAGGACAAATATCACAGAAACATTGAGAATTAGGAGGAAAAGAGATAAAACTAAAATGTTTCATTGATGAAAAAGGCAAATGGCCCAATCTAAAGTGCCATAAATTTACATTAAAAGTAGCATTTGCAGAAAAAGGAAAAAGAACTTAAACTTGACTAGGAACATTCTAATTTGAAATTGGAACCACATATGCTTCATAATTATCTCTAAGATTGACTTCATTAGGATCCAACAAGTATAATCCTTCTTTGTCTTCACAAAAAAATCGACCCCTCTTCATTAAAGAGGCTTGCAACATATAGTGATCAGAAGAGAATGCACTAAAATCGTGAAGAAAACCTATTAACAGATAGTAAATTATATCTGAAAGTAGGGACATGAAGTGCATTTTCTAAAATATAATCAGGAAGAATAGAGACTCTACCTATGTGAGTGACTGTTACATTAAAAAAAATAGGAAGATTTATATATAATGGAGCAGGAAGAAGCGTTAGAGAAAGAAAATCATTTGAGTCAAAATACATATGTTCTGAAACACCTGAATCTATAATCCATGTATTTGAACTAAAAACCGAAAAACATGTTTCAGAATATTTGATAAAAGTATCATCCACTGCATTAGCATTAATCTTCGAATTTGAGCTACCGTGTCCTCAATTTTGACATGTTTTTATCAATTGAACCAGTTGTGAAAACTGATCTTTGGAAAGATGTTGGTTCGGTGCCTCAGTGCAGTTGTTTGTGTTATCATTTCCATGTTTCCCTAAGAATGCTACATTGCTTCTGACTGTGCCTTGTCTTATTTTTCCATTGGTGAATTTAAAATCTTCTTGAAATCCTATTATTCTGTAGCAATCTGCCACTGTATGGCTTGTCTTTTTGCAATATGTGCATGTAACATTGGGGTTAAACTTTATTTTCTTTCCTTTGACAAATTGTGGCTTCTGAGGTGGATTACCAAGCCTTTGGAATCCATTCCCATATTTTTGGTTTTGACTTATGAATTTCTGTTTTCCATTCCTTTGTGAAAAACTTGCTTGATTTGCAAAACCTTTGTGAATGTTGGTCAGACTTCCTACCATGAAGGATGAAGTCTCAACAGAAATGAGAGGGTTAGCATATACCTCTCTTTGGTTTTCATCCTGCAAAATCAATGAATAGGCTTGATCAATGCTAGGCAGGGGACTCATTATGATTATATTTCCCCTAGCTTGACCATATGCCTCATTTAACCCCATGAGAAACTATATGAGTCTCTCATATTCTTGTGATTTCTCCTATATTTTCTTTCCTT